TGAAATAAATGAAATTTACAGTTTCTGTTCATTATCTACCCAACAGTGTTACATATTCAACTTAAATTTGACATATACATATGTCAAAGGAATGGGCAGGTCAAGTTGGAATTTGGTCATGGTTTGATGATTTTTGGCAGAGTTATGTCCCTTTCACTTTGAAAATAATATAGATACATCTTAGGAATAAGCAGTTTAAGTTTGAATTTGGTTGTGGTTCAATGATTTTACACAAACTTAACTTAAAATAAAAAAAAATTAATGCACCATCTGAAATTTTGGCTGCATGCGGGGGCATCCGTGGCATGATGACACATTTCTAGTTAACTGCAAGAGATTGTTTGTCTTATACTCACATTATTATATTTAAGTTAAAGTTGTTAAACAAACAAGTTAAAAGAAAATTTTACTTTAAAAGGACTCAACTGAGTATTTTTGACATGACGGGCCTGAAAATATTTTTTCCCCCATTTTGATGTCCTATTTTTTGTAGGTCTTGACCAATAACTTATATGCAAAATTTCAGATCGTTCACTCACTCCATTTTCTCAGAATGATTATCATAATTTTAAAATGTTGCAATGCCTTTCACTCAAATTGGGGTGAGAAAGCATTTAAATATAAATTATAATTTATTTCTAGGTTTTAATTATCTGCTTCATATCTTTTAATTGCCCCAGTTTATTTATCTTAGAAATTCAAATTCTAAATTTGTTACGCTTTTGGACCACGATTGAGTTCCTTTAGTTTAGTTTATACAAATTTATTTTAGTTTGATTGTGTTGGAAGCTATAAGCTTATTGAAACACTCTCAAATCTGTTCCTGAAACCAACCAGTACTATGTATTGAATGTAAAGTTTCTTGCTCAAGGAAACAACGGCTTGGCCCTGACAGGGTTTGAACCCAGGCGGTCAGCAATTCTTAGATCACTAGTCTGACGTGTTAACCATGCGGTCAAGCCGCCATATACAAAGGTCCGCCTCATACAGTATATCATTGTGATAACGACTACGGTCAACCGATATATATGAGTTCCTTGAATGAATGTTTTGTTATTCTATAGATTGATTTACTGGACAAATTGGAACAACGAGAAGCCTAGGATTCAACGTTCAAACCTGACTGGTGAACACCCAGAGGATGTTATTGTAAAGGATATTCTCACACCCAATGGTCTCACGATTGACCATAAAGCCAAGAAATTGTACTGGTCTGATGCCAGGTTAGACAAGATAGAGAGATGTGATATGGACGGTTCAAACAGATATGTAAGTTTCTCCGGTTATAAATGATTGAATACAAATTCATGTAAATTATTGAATACAAATTCACAGAAGATTTTTTGGGTTTTATAGATTATTGAATACAAATTCATGTAAGTTTCCCCAGGTGTAATTATGGAATACATGAAAGTTTTTCTGGTTATTTATTATTGAAAACAAATTCACATAAGTTTCTCAGGTTTTAAATTATTAAGTACAATTTCATGTCATTTTCTTTGGTAATAACTTATTTAATACAAACTCACATAAGTTTCTCGGGTTATAAATTATTTCATACAAATTCTACTGATTAGAGATTTAAATGTTCCATGTGAATATGATGACAATATAAGAAAATATCTCAGCAATAGGTAATACTAAAGCCTGTATTATTGTCTGTTAAATAACTAAAAATACTTTCAAACAATTTAACTGCTGGTAGCAACAAATTCTTATCATGCAATCAGTGCATACCATGATCAGTCTGCACATCCTGGCTGATCCTGGTCTGCTCTTTCAGTACATATTTTAAAATTTTACCCCAAAAAATTATAAATGGTTTGATCCAGATTAAAAGATGGACAAGTCCATTTAAGTTATTTAGCATGTTTAGGGTTAATTTTTATCTTCTTTTATCTGTTATTTAGGTAATCATCACATCTATACCTCAACATTCCTTCGGTCTCGCTGTTTATGATAACTACCTATTCTGGACAGACTGGATGCTCCGCGCTGTCATACGTGCTAACAAATACGATGGCACGGGTATAGTTTGGCTACGCAAAAATCTGGAACGTCAGCCAATGGGTATCGTAGCAGTAGCGGAAGATAGCGAAAATTGTGAGATAAATAAATGTCATGGAGATAATTATGGTTGCCAAGACAAATGTTACACTGATGTAACAGGCCAGGCATTCTGTCAATGTACCTATGGCAGATTGAAAGCTGATGGCAAAAGTTGCGCATGTAAGTTAATTTATTTTGTCTAGCTCTTCTAAATATAATAAGGTAGGTCATATTGGTCCTCGGTGTCACCGCATCTTTGTGGTTACTGTGGAAGTCCAAACATGTGAGTTTGCATACATAATGCCACCTACAAACTAGACTAGATGTTATTGTCAAAAATTGTTGAATCAAACTTTTATAGCCATGTGAACATGTACTTTAAAGTAAGGATGAAACAGTTAATACCAGTAAAGTGAGTTAGTGAAAGTAAGTCCCACTTTTAAATTACAATTTGCTGGAAAATCCAATACCATATGGTCAGACAGACCATCCTGCCACGGTTTAAAACTGTTCACTATGGAGGGGAAAAGATGTGTAATCTGCCAGATAACTCGGTTGGTAGAGCCGCAGAATGGTATTCCGAGGGTTCCAGGTTCGAGTCCATGTCAGGCTGCACATTTTTCTCACCCTGTGACTTTTTTGTATTATTTACAGATGTTGATTTGTTGACCTTGAAGTAAGCAATTTATAAATGAAGTGTTTGCCCACCCATATGGTTCATTCAAGTTGTGAGGGTAAAAAAAACATACATACATTGTTGTTCTGTTTGTCACTGAACTATATTGTTTCCTTAAAGAATGATTATGACAGCTGACCTCTCTTGTTTGTGCATTTTTCCAAAATTTTGTGAAAAATGTATACTTATTGTAATATGTATAACACATTTTGAAGGCAATATGACTCAATATTCTAAATTGCTACTTGAAAATAGCTAACAAACAAAAAAAGACATATTTGAGGTAAAGAAATTTTAAAACATCTGAGGAGAAACCAAATAAAAATTTGCATAAAATTAAGATAAAAAAATGGGCTTTTTTATATTTCTAAAGTATCTTCATCTTGATGTGCAGCTATCTTTTGATGGCACACTCATTTAAAGGGACTCCAGTGAAGTGTTTTGACATGACAGGATGGGAAATAATGTTTCAAGATTAATGTTCCATTTAATGGTGGTCTAAACCAATAACTTGTGTGCAAAATTCAGATAATTTGCTTCCAGAATGATAATAATTGAATAATCCAAAACTGAAACGCTTGCAACATTCTTCACTTAAATCAGGCTAAATTAGCATAAAAATACAATTTTTAATTTCGATTTGGAGTATATTTCTTAAATTCCTTTTGCATATCTTTTTGTTTTATGTGCCCAAGGTGATCTGTGTAAAGAATTCAAATTTATGTGTTTAGGCTTTTGGGCCCGAGACATATGAGTTCCTATAAATGGTATTTTTCTCCCTGATAACAATTTTGGATCAAAGAAATTGGTGTATCATAAAATCTTGGCTGTTAAACTTGATTTTAATTGTTATCATTTTCATATGATGAGTTGATTACAGTCAAATTATCATCACACCAATGTTTAGAACGATACAAAACAATTTCTTACCTAAAGATAGTAGTTATGATAAATATATAAAACTGACCTGGTGTTTTGATGTAAATTGTTCACCCCTTCAAATCTTTTAATTTATTGTTTAAAAACAATTTTTTGTTAGTTTCAGTAACTGTTTTAGATCGAAATAATGTTTGTACAAAAGTATTGCATGTTTGTTGAGAACTTTTTATTAAGCAGAGGCATGAAGTTGTGTTCCCTTACCAAACAGTTACTTATATTTAATACTGTTAGTTTAAAATTAGAAGAAATTACTGAATTTTATAAAGGATAAACTTTGGACTGCATCTTTGACTCAAAGTGTTAAATAAAGTTAGAACTTGTAACTTTATAGCAGTCAGTGCAAAAGAAAACTTGCAATCAAATTGATACAATTTCTTTCTTTCATGATTACAACATTTATTTTCTTCTCTTAAGAAAGGTTTAACTTCTGTATCATAAAGAAATGTGTCTGTGGACAGTTGGACAGTTTAATTGTCAAGGAAACATTGTTACATATTGTTCTGAACTTCTGTAAACAGTTCTGTGCAAAATGAGAAAGCTAAAATGAGATGATGAATAACAGCTTAAAAGCTTGCCTGCAAAGTTTCTACATCAAGAATTCCTGGCAGACTGTAAGCCTGGTTATGAATATAAATGAAACATATAATTACCATTTCTATGATACAATATGTATATATGTAAAAAGGTGATCAATTTACAGTGAAGACTGAGAAAAATGACATGACATTAGGGGGTATGAAATGTTTGAATAGGATACATGTAAGACACTAGAGGGTAGGCCTCAATGACTGATTGATTAATACATATAATGTATAGCTGGCCGACCTCAAATCATTTACTCTTTTAACATTGTGGGGTGAATTTCCCACTGGAGACATTTAGATCTTCCATTTGGATAAGATGATCAAATAGTTTGGAAGCGTTATTGGTTCTACCATTGAACCTTTTGTTCCCCTGTAGTGGGGATGTTGAGGGGGTGGGGGCAAGACGGAGACTCTTTTGCTGAGTGCTGCTGAGTTCATTCCCCCCTTGGACTTTGGATTTTTTTCATGTGAGGAAGCTAGCCAACTAGCTTATGGAACATCGGCAGTTCTACTCAGGTGCCCATCTGTGCCTAAAATAATGCACAGAGGGGCACCTGAGATCTTCCTCCACCAGTAAAGCTAACCTTAAAGTAAAACTAAACCCAACCAATAGAACAGAAAAAAAACAACCCTGAATGATCACAATAAAAAAGTACTCATGTGCCTTAATTTAAAATGTTGTGACTCATTTTAAATGCTGTTTAAGAATTCCCATATATAAACATCCAGTATGAATCTGTTTTTCATTCAAATCTGTTTATTTTTGAAAGACCCAGTTTATTTTAACAAGAATTATCAGTTAAGTTCATCATAAAATATGAGAAAATTGATACTGTAAATTGACATATTTTTTAAGTGAGGTGACAGATTTTATATTGACCAGGTATCAGGTTGTGCTATCGGTCATGAATTGCTTGTTTTCTTTGTTATTTTTTCATTCGCGGTCCATGATTTTGTGTTAGTTTAATAAAATTAACCGCAACACTCAAAAAAACATGTGACAGATTTTAACCAGCTTTTTCACTTTTAATTATTTATGGGCTACTGCTCACTGAAGAGGAAATTGATATTGCTCAGTTAAAATAAACAGAAACTTTGCCCCGTGCCTTGTGATATAAAAATCAATATTTTGAAATTATTCAAAGATTCAGCAGCTGGTGTGGGATGAAGGGAGACAATTCATATCAACTTATTTTTTAAATTTTCCTCTATGTTCTAAGCGACATGATTTTTCATCCTTGAATTTGAAGTCATTTTTTAGAAATTTATGTGAGAAATGCATCGTGAATTTGATTTTATATTTATAAAGACAATTTTGATAATGGTAATTGATATTTTGTTTATGTATTTATAATTAAAACCAATTTTGTATTTTTTTAGGTTTTTTTCAATGATTTAAGCGACATTGCTAAATTTAGCATGACAGTTTTGTAGTTCACATGTGGGTTTTTGTTGACAAAATGCATTCCAAGTAAAAGCGGCATGGACTTTAAATCAAGTTCGACAAATTGTATGAATTATTAACACATACTCTAAATTTGTTAAACTTTGTTTTTATATTTGTTATCTGTTTTATTCATATGGAATTTAATTGAAAACACATTCGAAATGGTCGGATATTTATTCCTAATATCTTTCCTTACCTTTATGGTAAGGTCATCTCTGGCAGACTCGAAAAATGAAACAGAATCAGACACCTCTAACCTAGGTAATATCTCGATTTTTTTTATAGTAGAAAATTCATAATCTACAGTCTTTCAGTTTGTTACAGAACAATATTGTATAACTATCATTTTTTTGTAAAGATTATCAGTAAAACAAAGAAAGATGCTGTATTGTAAAGGCACTCTCCTGGATTAGACTCCTATGTATTTTTCAGGAGTAAAACTTGTATATAATACACTAAAGAAAACGGAATGTTCCAGAATGAAGAAAGAAATTTTTTTAACTTTTAAAGTTTAAAATGTATATAAGAATATTAAACAATGGTTTAGACCCTTGGACTATTCCAGGATATATAGCCAAAGAGTTCTAACCTTTCCAGCAGGACCAGCACTATATTAATAGTAACTTGATTTCAGATATTTTAATAATTAATTTAGGATAAATGTTTTAATGCTGTGCTTATATTTGTGATGCAGTTTTAAATTTTCGGGCGTCTGTGTTGCTTCTGATGGCAATCTCCTGGAATAGACCATTATGTTTTTTATTTTGATATTTAACCAATAAGGTATAAGGCTATCGTAATTATGTACTACTGGTTTAGAACATGGGTTCTTATCCAGGATTAGACACAATATTACGATGTGCCAAAGCAAAATTCTGAAATATTTTTGTTCTGAGTTAGAATGTTGCTTCTAGAGGGGTGATTTAGGTGGCCAATAGCTCAGTTTTTTAGACCACTGACTGTCACTCCTGAGGTCCCAGTTTCAGTCCTGGGTTGGTCCAGGTTCAATCTAGTAATACAATGAAAAAAATTAGGATAAATCATGAAATTCTGAAAGTTCTCTGAAAAAACAAAAAAAAACATTTATTTTCGAGATTGAGAAGTGTGATCAATCATTTTTTCTCAACATATTTTTTCTTAGTTTTAAGATATTGAATACATTTACAAGAAATAAACAATGTACCTATGTTTGAATTTTAGGAAATTCTGATTTGAAATTTTTTTTCAGGTTTTTTTATTTGCAATTTTTCTTTGTCATAATTATAATCACGAGGATTACGCAATTGATCTAACCCACTACAAGAATTTGTTATGTCAATAATAACCCTTTCCCTGCTGGAACCAAAAGTTTTGCCTTTGTCGCCAACAGCCTGGCTCTATTCTGGTGACCAGGTGTTCATGCAGACAGACCAGGCTCTAGTATAATAATTTCAAAGCCTTTTGTCCTGCAGAACATGTGGCTGCTGAATTCTATGAGTAAGCTACTTTAAAGTTTATCCTACTTGTCCTACTCAGTACTGCATTTTCTATCTTT